CTCACTAGTAGCGTACCACACCTCCCAGCTCTCACTAGTACATACACACCTCCTCTCTCTCATAGTACCGTACACACCCTCCCGCTCTCACTAGGTACGTTACACACCTCCCCGTGCTCACTATAACGCTACATACCTTCCCGCTTCACAGTACGTACACATCTCCCGCTCTCAACTGTACGTACACTACCTCCGCTCTCACTGTGATGTACGTAGCATACTCCCGCTCCTCACTAGTACGTACATACTCTCCGCTCTCACTGAGGTACGTACATACCTCCATCTAGTCACGTACAGCAAGCCTCCGCTCTCACTAGTTACGTACATACTCCACTAGTACGTACAACAGGCTCTCCTGCTGTGTGTCGCTCTCACTTAGTAATGCGTTACGTACCTCCCACTAGTACGCTACACACCTTCCCGCTCCTCGACTAGTACCGTACATACCTCCCGCCCTCTCACTAGTACGTACACCACCTCCCGCTCTCACGTAGTTTACAAATTACGTACACACCTTCCCGCTCTCACATAAGTACGTAGCACACCATCCCGACTCTCACTAGTACGTACACACCTCCCGCTCTCACTAGTACGTACACACCTCCCGCTCTCACTAGTACGTACATACCTCCACTAGTACGTACACACTCCCGCTCTCACTAGTACGTACATACCTCCCACTAGTACGTACACACCTCCCGTCTCACTAGTACGGTACATACCTCCCCTCTCACTAGTACGTGCACACCTCCCGCCCTCTCACTCAGTTACGTACCATACCTCCCACTAGTTACGTACATACCTCCCGCCTCGTCACTAGCTACGTACACCACCTCTCCGTGCTCTCACTAGTGTAGTCGAGAGCGTGAGCACCGTGTCCGTGATCCGCGTCCGTCGTCGTGCTCGTATCTAGTACGGTGACGAGGCCTTCCCGTCTCCACTAGTACGTACAACACTCCCGCTCCTCACTAGTACGCTACATTTACCTCCCGACTCTTCACTAGTACGTACATACCTCCTCTCTCACTAGTAGCGTACACACCTTCCCGCTCTCACTAGTACGTACAGCAACCTCCCGCTACTCACTAGTACGTACACACACTCCCGGCTACTCAATTACGTACGTTCATACTCGCCGCTCTCACTAGTACGTTAGCACACGCTCCCGCCTCTCACTAGTACAGTAACACACCTCCGCTCTCACTAGTACGTACCAACACCCCGCTCTCACTAGTACGTATCACACCCTCCCAGCCTCTCACATCGTACGTACAACACCTCCCGCTTCTCACTTAGTTTACGTACACACCTCATCCGGCTCTCCACTAGTACGTCATCACACCTCCTGCTCTCTGACTGGTACCGTAGACACGTCCTCCCCTCTCACTGTAGTACCACACCTCCCGCTACTCACTAGTACGTTACATACCTTCCCCCTCTCTGAATAGTTAGCTGGTATGCGACATCCTCTGTCCTTCGCGTGTGCTCGCTCAATGCTAGTGACGTACATACTCCGCTCTCACTAGTAACGTACACACCTCCCGCTTCCACTAGTACGTAACACACCTCCCGCTCCGACTGTACGTACACACCTCCCGCTCTCACTAGTACGTACACACCTTCCGCTCTCACTTATACGTACACACCTCCCGCTCTACTATTAGCGTGTAGGCTGATTACGCTGCCGCCTGTGTGGACTCACCTAGTAGTAGCGTACACACCTCCCGCTCTCACTGAGTACGTACACACTCCGCTCCCCACTAGTAGCGTACACACCTCCGCTCTCACTAGTGAGTACACACTCCCGCCTCTCACTAGTACGTACACACCTCCCGCTCTCACTAGTACGTACATTACTCCCGCTCTCACTAGCACGTCACACACTCCCGCCTCACTAGCACGTACACACCTCCCGCTCTTCACTAGCACGTAACACTCTTCCTGCGTGTGTGGCCTGCTCATCTATAGCGTTATTACTCCCGCTTCACTAGTACGTACACACCTCCCGCTCTCTCACTAGTACGTTAGTTACTCCCGCTGCTCACTAGCCGTACACACCTCCGCTCGTCACTAGTCGTACATACCTCCCGTGCTCACCTTAGCACGTACACACCTCGGCCGGCTCTCACATAGTACGTTAGTTACCTCCCGCTCTCACGTAGCACGTACAGCACCTTCCGCTTCTCACTAGTACTCACCATACTCCCGCCCTCTCACTCAGCACTGTACACACCTCCCGCTCTCACTAGTACGTTATTGCTCCGGCATCCTCACTAGTACGTACATACCTCCCGCTTCACTAGCACGTACACACTCCGGCCTTCTCACTAGTACGTACACACCTCCCGGCTCTCAACTAGTACGTACACACCTCCCCTCTCACTAGCCACGTACATACCTCCCAAAGCTCTCACTAGTAACGTAGCATACCTCCCCGCTCTCACTAGCCACGTTACATACCTCCCGCTCTCACTAGTACGTAACACACCTCCCGCTCTCACTAGTACGTTACACACTCCCTGCTCCCACTCCAGTACGTTACACACTTCCCGCCTCTCATCTGTAGCACGATACACACCTCCGCCTCATCACTAGTACGTACGACACCTGCCCGCTCTCACTCAGTACGGCTTGACCGTAGATATTGTCGTCGCGTCGCCGCTTTCACTAGTACGCACACAACCTCCTCTGGTCCGTTGTGTGCGTCATGCTGTGGAGATACGAATCAACTCCTCTTTGTTTTGGGATTTTCATACCTTTTTCGCTTGGGTGTGGTGGTGCTCACTTTAGTACGATACACAGCGCTTACCGGGCTCTGCTTTTACTTGAGTACGCTACATCACCTCCCTGCCTCTCACTATTACGTACATACCCTCTCCGGCTGGTCTTATGTGTTTGCTCAAAACCGCCCAGTACGCCACACACCTCGCTCGCGTCTCACTAGCACGTACATACATCCCGCTTTCACTAGCACGTACATCACTTGCTCTCACTAACAGATGGCCTACGACAGCTCGAGAAACATTTTAACCGATGCCTAACTCGAACGAGGCGGTAAATAATTCTTCGAGGTTCCGCGATATTCATGGCTTCGTCTCTGAAACCTAGAAACGTCAAACCGGCGACCCTACATCCACTTGTGCCGTCGTTCACGCGTCAAACGTCCGAGAGGACGTGGAGCGTAGGTGTATGTGTGTGTGGTGTCCTGTCGTGGGTGGGTAGTGGCGGGGTGGTCGGTGTTGTGGTGTGTTGGTGTGTGTGTGGCGGTGGTGGCACGTGGTGTGTTGTGTTGAGCGTGTCGTGTGTGTGCTGTGTGCGTGTGCGTGTGTGCGTGCGTGCGTTGCGTGTGTGTGTATGTGTGTGCTCGTGTGCGCCCGCTCAGCGTGCGTGCGTACGTGCGTGCGCGGAGCGCGTGCGTATGGTGTCGTGCGCGTGCGTCGCGCGTGTATGCTTGCTCGGCGGCGGTGCGTGCGATGCCAGCTTGCTGTGTGGAGTTGTGTTATGTGGTGGTTGGCGTCGATACGCGTGCGTGCGCGTGTGTATGTGCGTGCGTGCGAGCGTGCCGTTGCCGTGAGCTGTATGTGTAGTTGTGTTGGTGTGTGTATGTATGGTGCGTCTTGCGCGCTGCATGCGTGCGTGTGTGTGTGTGTGTGCGCGCGCGCGCGTGTGTATGTGTGTGTGTATGTGCGTGCACGCGCGCGTGCGTGCGTGTGTGTGTGGTGTAGTGCGGCGATGGCTTCACACAGCTGCGCCTGTTTTTAGTCACGCGCCACACGCGGCCGGCTCTGACCTGCGGCCTTCCGCTTCCGCGCTTCCGAGGGTATATTGAACTGAGCTTCTCCCAGAGATTCCAAAAGACTCTTATTCCAAAATATACAACAACGTCAGAGCTGCTGCTGTCCTTCAGCCTCCCAACCACTGGCTATTATTATAACCCATTATGTGTATATGTGCGCACGTGCGCGTGTGTGAGCGTGCGCGCGCGCAATATAATATATATAAAAAATATTTTTAATATTTATAAATAATAAATATAATAAATATAAAAATAAATTATATATCAAATATATTGCGATTTTTGCCATCCGAGATGCCGCCGCATTCTCTGATTTTTTCTTACTAAGAAAGCTAGGACAGCTCTAGCTGTGAAAGCTATAGGTACAGGTTGTAATGCTTGTAAGCTAGGTTAAGATGCCAAGATTAAGGCTTTAATATGCCAAGATACCTAGCAAAGATGCTAAGACAGCTCTAGTACTACAGTCCCATCGTTCCACATTACGCAATCCAGAACTATGGAGAGTAGAATTTTACCCAAGATACCCCTAAGATTCGTTGCTTTCTCTTCTTTCTGTGTTTTGCACTGGGCCACAATTAAAAAAATCTTTGTTTGCCCTCACCCGACCCAGTCTGAAAAGTTTGAGTAGGTATGTAGGGTTTTTTTAAGGGGTCTTTTTACAAATTCAGCATGGTGTCTACATGCTCGGGTGTGCTTGTGTGGCCTGTGGAGATACCTAGTTTTATGTTGAATGTTTGTTTTGCTTGGTACATATAATGTATTGCCTACAGATTTCTATAACGTACACTGATACAATTTGTATTAAAAAAAGAAAAAGAAAAAAATATCAATAACATTTTTTGAGTCGACCCCTTTTTGGCGGGTCGGTCGGGTGAGGGCAAACAAACAATATTTTTATTATGGCCTTGTCTCCCAAGACTTTTGACGTAAGCTCAAATCAAATCGCGCCCTTCGAGACGGGAGACGGCCCATTCCACGCACGCACGCTAACTGGCGGCACATGAGGCATCGGGAGCTCCTGAATCCCAACTAGACAGGAAATTCTCTCTCTCTCATCCTCTCCCTCTCTCGCTCTCTCTTCCTCTCTCGCTCCCCTCTTTTTCTTTCTCTCTCTACCTCTCTCGCGCTCGCTTTCGTTCTCCGTCTCTCTCAATATCTCTCTCCCTCTATCTTTCCCTCTCTGTCAAATTATTCGAAAACTTACCAAACAGGCGATCACGGAAACGGCGGCAGCACACAGAATCCGAACGAACAGACAGACAATATGTCACACTAGTCACTAGTAAGCAGGCAATGCGGTGAAGAAAAGAAGCATCAGCGTCCGACACGAACACAAAGATAGGAACCTGCGCGCTAACATGCCACAACAGTTGAGACAGCAAGACAAGATGGCAGGATGCCCTGCTACTGCTGCTGCTTGAGTGCGTCAGAGAAAGAAGCAGCCATGTGACTCAGCGCAGCAACAATTACCTCCATGTGCTTTCGTGCTTTCTCGCAGGGAGCTTAGAGCGGTCCCGTCGGGAATAAGTCGATCCGTGCTTTGACTGCGTTGGCCCAATTCGAAGATCGTGTCTACGATTCGCTAGACTGACTACTCCAATGCACGTTACAGATGCCCCATGCTGCACAGATGTGCTGTGCGCGCGTGTACGCGCTGTGGGCCGTGTGTCAATGCGTGTGACGTGCCGTGCGTGTGGTGTGCGTGGTGCCTGTGCGGTGTAAGGGCGCGCGCGTGCGCCGTGTGCGTGCCGTGGTGTGCTGAATGGTTCGCGCGTGTGCGTGCGCGTTTTAGTCTGCGTGATTCTCCACATACTTCCACGGACGCCCTTGAGTGCGTGGAATGTCGCCGCAGTGCGTTCACACTGTCTTGATGCGACCGCGGAATCAACCGGAAATCGGAGGAGAAGCATCTTCAGCTAGGGCTGGTAATGGGCCTTATCTTGCAGACGAAGCTGAGCAATCTTCTCATAAATGTTCCAACTTCCAAGTCGCGCGGACGTGCAGTAGACTCAGGTGGGTCTACTGACCGCACCTAGTAGGCTGCCACCTACAGACAGACTGCTCACTTCTCGTCCCATCCACTGAGCTTCCACTGCTCCCTGCAGACAAACTTGAAGATGTCTATGTTTAACGCTCTATACACAGCTGCAGTAGGTTAGGGGGGGGGCAAAAGGGGCCATGCGCCCCCTTGTTAATGCGAAAATTTAAAAAAAAATAAGAATGTTTCTACTAAAAGAGAATTGTCGGAGTCAGAACTGAGAGGCTGTACCTGTACTCAAAAGTGCCTCAAATAACCATCTCCTGCGAATCTAACATTTTCAAAATTTTCGGTGGGGAGGACCCGCATAACCCCCCCCCCGCCTGTGGTTTCACCCCCCCTCGCTAATTCCTACATCGCCACTGAACAGTTACAATATCTAAGGAGCCCAGAGAACAATCGAACAGCAAATGTCGCCTTTTTACAGGCGCCGCAAGAACAAAGATTGCGACTGAGAGGCGGGGAGATATAGGGTGTTGGAAAGGAGGCCTGAGGAGCATTAAATAATTGAGCGACAACAAAATCAAGTCATCGCACTATTTGCGCAGTCGCTGTTTTTCCCCCCCCTGTTAAAAAATGCCTGGCTTACGCCACTGCTTATACCATCTCGCACGTTAGTCGACTGACATATTCGAGTGCGACATTTCGTAAAACTATTATTCGCACTTCCCTGTCTTATCTCCACTTGACTGATTGTCAAGCTTCCGCGTCATATAGGATGACCCAGCCATGGTAGCTTTAAAGTAAAGCTACTTACAAGTAGGTGGATTGAAATTACATCATATGTGATTGCTAAGAATGATCGTATAACACGAATTTGACTGATCAGGGGGTGGGTTCTGAGGACAAGACTTCTCACGGATAAGTCAGTGACCCAAAAAAATCACTTCTAGGTTATTTACGATTAATTAGCTAAGCTTTAATTTTTAATTTTGCTCCAAAATCTAGGGGCAGCTGCCCCTTGCCCCACCCCCACAGGCTACGGCACTGAATATAGATATTATATATATATATACTATATATACGATCGCCCACGCGGAATAGGTCGCTTAAAATTACATTTTACGCGTGCGCGCCACAAAACCACACAGGCCGTACGT